CGTAAAAAATAAAAATTTCGTGTCCCGCTCATGATTTGTATCCCATTCGCGGTAAGTGTTCCCCAAAATCCCTAAATCCTCAAAATTCCTAAAATTCTGAAACAAAAATCCTCAAAATCCCTAAAAGTTACTGTCGCATTCAGCATTACCTACATTGAACGAGGGTGAACGACGAGTGACGAGGGTGAACGACGGCCTTCGCCGAAGTGACAAGCAGTAGCAGCGAGTGACGGCTAGCAGCAAACAACGGCCTTCGTCGGAGTGATGAGCAGCAGCGAGTGACAGCTAGCAGCAACCCTTCCACTCTTAACTCCCTCCTCCTTCCATCTCCTCCTCTAGATCTCACTCCTACTGGAGTTTCCTTGTTAGAGCTGTATGTGCTCTATGTTTATTTATTTACAAAATCCCATTTTTATTTTTGGCTAGTGTTTATTTATTTGCTCTTATGGTCGGTTTCTCAAGATTCAAGATTACCTATATATATGTGTCGTCTGTATATTCATGAATTATACATACTCTCATATTGACACTTTACTCTGTGCTGCTCTGTTTTGTAAGTCCATTCATTGAATAGTTGGAATGGGCTTATTTGAAAGATTGGCATTGCCAAAGATACTATATGTTGTTTTGGAAAAATAAATAAAGATAGTTGATTAGTTACAGTTGGATTTAATTAATTTTAGTTTATTGTGATGTGGAAGCTAAATTTGGGTTAGTGGGATAGTGGGTTTCAGAATTTTAGGAATTTTGAGGATTTAGGGATTTCATGATCCAATCAAATTCAACTGAACTAGGAACACTACCACAATTGTGCAATTGAAGTTATGCTAGATATATGGAGATCTGACACAATGTCAAGTGCAATTGATGTGTACATAAATCTAACAAAAAACGTGTCAAGTAATCAAATGTGCGTGCACGTTCTTGTCAAGTGCCCAAGTGTTGGTACCCATACCAAATGTTAAAGTGAGTTTTCTAATAATATTAAGGATATTAATAAACATATCAAACTCATGTATCTTAATCAATGTACTTGTTAATATTTATTGATATTTGTTAGTATTTCTAGCATGAAAGTTTACTTTGTTACTTTGCTAATGAATGAGTATGATCTTTCATTTCAATTGACTACCCTCTAGAAAAAAAAAAAAAAAAAAAAAACTTTGCTAATGAATGAGTATGATCTTTCATTTCAATTGACTACCCTCTAAAAAAAAAAAAAAAAAAAAGGTATGCAGTTATGATTTATGTAACTGTTTCACATTGATAATGACATTATTTTAAGTGCACGCGTCAACAGAATAACCCCTTATTCTTCTTTTTCTTTTTTTTTCTTTTGTAAATCCTTATACAAATATAAGATTCATTCACATCCTAATAAAATTGTGCATACCAGAAAATTAATGAGACCCTATGGATCAAACAACTTCACCATAAAGAAGAAAAAAGATTTACACATGGATAGAAATTAAATATGTAGTCTTTGCAAATAAAAGTATTGGAAAAATTCAATATATTTCTAATATCGAATCACAATCCACGGCTTAGAAATAAAACATGGGCCGAACTCTATTTAAGTGTCAATGTAATAGCTATGAATAATTATAGGCTTCTTACATTCTAAGTTTTGTCTTCTCTCACAAGTCTCTTGTGCCAAGGCGGTTGTGTGTGCCAAGTTTTGTGCTAATCCAACGCTGTTTGGTGACTTTGGGGTGTTAACACCTCAAATTCTAAGTTTGTTAATAAACTAGTTTGCCTAGACCGAAATTCAGCTCTAACTCCTAAATTGGAAGCCCAATTTGAGTCCCATCTTCTCCCACAAGTCTCTCATGTCAAGGCGGTTGTGTGTGTCAAGTTTTGTGCTAATCTGACACTGTTTGGTGATTTTGGGGCGTCAACATCTCGAATTTTAAGTTTCTTAAGAAACTAGTTTATCTAAAGTGAAATCCGGCTCTAACTCTCAAACTATGAACCCGATTCAAGACTGATGTTTTAAGACTATTTTTTTTCTGTAAATTATAATTTGTTGGTTGTACTCCTAGATTACACCACATAAATTGGCACTACTAAATTCTGAAAAAACATTGAAGAAAAATTATACAGATATATATATATATATATATATATGACTCCACAAACTTATTAAAATGACCTTAATGATTTGACATTTTTTCACATTAAAAAAAAAGAAGCAAATTACATTAATAGTCTCCACATTTTTTCTATTGTGTTATTTTAGTCTCTTATACTTTTATTTGCTTCAATTTTATTAGATTTTATGTTAATTTGGCTCAGTTACTACAACTAGTTAGAGCATCTTCAATGGCAAGCCATTGAAGGTGCTATTGTCATAATTTGGCAGTAGTTGACAAAACGTTTGCTCCAATGACAAGTTATGGTAGCTATCAAATTTAACAAATGACAAAACTTATGTCAAATTTGACAAATACCAAAGCTTGTGTCAATTTGACACAAGCTTTGACAGCTACCATAATTGCAACTCACAACAAACACTTCCCTTCCTCCCAGCAAAACATCCCTCCCTCTCTCATGTTCGCTATTTTTGCAGAATGAAAGCTAAAAACTAGTGTATGTAGAACGTCCAACTAAACAACCGGTCAGATATCGTCAGGTCAGACGTCCCGCACACACCAGTTTATGTGCCAAAATTGCAAAAATGATAGTCTTCCATTAAAGTACCATTGTTATAATTTGAGTCAAATGCTTCTATTCATTGCTATGCTATTATAGCAATTGGCAATGGCAATGCTGTTATATCATTTGTCATTGGAAATACTGCTAGGTTTTTTGATAAAATTAGTTAAATTTAACTCATTGAACAAGTTTACAATGTTATTCCTAAAATCATGACAGTTTACATGCATAGTTTTAATCAATTGAACAAAATTAATATAAAATCATAAATTTAGAATTAATTAAAATTAGAAGAACCAAAATGACCTAAGGCTCAATGTATGGGATTTAAATACAATTTATCCTAAAAAGGAAAGAAAAAAAATACCAAATTAAGTCATTTCTATATTTATTTAAATTCCAAAGACCATCCCATTTTGGCAACAACAACAACAAAAACCACCTCTTTTTCCAAATTTTTTTTTGTCTCTAGTGATTTTTTTCAAAATTATGTTAAATTTTTTTTTTTTTTCGATTCGTCTTGTCAAGATGAATCTAAAAAATATCTTCTTTTTTTTTTTTGAAAAATTCTAGAAAAAATCACTAAAGATAAAAAATAAGTTTAAAAAAAATTGTTTATTTTGACTTATTTTGTCTTTTCTTAATTTTTTTGGAATATTTTTTTTAAAAAAAAAGTTATAATTTTTTAGTTCGTCTTGTCAAGTTAAATTTAAAAACTTCGGTAAAGACGAAAATAAGCCAAAATTAATTTGTCCAAGCTCAAAAAAAAGTCCACTTCACCAACCACCAAATATTCTTCAAATTTCTCTAATCAAAAAATGAAAAAAAGAACCGTAGAAATTTTTGCATTTACAATTCTTTTGTAAAAAATTTATATGGATGGAATAGTTTTTTTATAAATAAAATTGATATATATACACATATTAATAGGAGTAATTTTATTTTGAAAAACCACTAATAGTGGGTTGAGTACCCTCATATATATATTTTCTTTTTTGAGGTGATTTTTTTTTTAATTCATTATTCTAAATTATCATAACATCTTAATTCTTTATTACCCTCTTTGTTTTGGGTTTCAAAACCAAACAGTCGATTGCATTGTCTCTCAATCAACTCTGTTTGACAACTTAGTGGTTGTACAAACAAATAAAAACATAACAGCCTACTCTAATCCATAAACAAACTGCCTACTTACCAGGTTAGGCTTTATACAAGTAGTAGCCTTTTTGTTTTTTGTTTTTTTTTTTTTTTGTTTTTATTTTTTTTCTTTTCGTTCTCTGTTCATATGTGTAAAGAAAAGCAAATGACTCTTGAGTATATTTTTATGGATTAAGGCTTCTTCCCAGTTGGGTTTTCCAATTGGAGTGTGTTATTGGGTCTCTATGGGCTTAGTATGGAGCTCACATCGATAATCCGAACCGTTCAATATGTAGGATTGATTCAGTACTTTATCCCTATAAAAAATCACGTTGATCAAATATCGATAGCCACTTGATCAAATCACATTTATATTAACAATTTATTTTTAAAATCATAGTAACATTGACACAAATTTGATCTGATCAAGTGGCTATCAATATCCAATCAACGTTATTTATTGCAAGAATAAAGTACTCGACAAGTATTACACATTGAACAGTTCAGATTATTAATGTGGGTTTTATGGTGGGCCCACATAGCCCAACAGCACGCTCAACCCGATCGAGCTAGAGAAAAGTTATTCCCTATTTTATACTCCTTTTGTGCACAAGTTATAAATTGATTATTTTTTTTTTTAGTAATTTAAAAGGTTATGTCAACAAATTTTTCACTCTCTATGATTTAAAATTTTCAAAATTAATTTTTTGAGTTTTTATTGACTTAATATATATACCCTTAAAAAACATATAATTTGTAGAAAAAAAATTAAAAATCATTGAATATAACAAATTACTAAAATGTATTAATTTTTTGTATTATTTTGTATGCAATAAATTTTTCATTGGATTATGTAAAAGGAAAGGAATAATAGTGTTGTTTTTTTTTAGATAGTAAGAATAATAGTGTTAGACTCACAAAAATTAAACACATAAAAGTGTTGGATGAAATTTATTTTAAGTCTAACTTACAGCACACTCAAAATGAATTTTAACTACCCAAACATTTTCTTTATAGAGCACTGCTGGAGAGCTCTAATCCAACAGCTCTAATGCCAGCTCTAATGAGTTGGCATGGAGGAAATAAAAAATGAAAAAAAAGAAAACAAGACACAGTCCATCACTGGACCCCACTACCAACACACTAGTGATGGATTTAGAGCTCATTTTTTAGAGCTCTAAATCATTTTTGTTAAGTCCAATTGCAACTGTGCAGTTTCAACAATCAGAACCAACTCTGCTAAAACTCAGTGACTACCTGTTCCTCGAAAGTGAGCAACCGAGAGCAGGTGTTGTGAAGGATGTCGATTATCTCCGTCTGAGTCTTGTTTTCCTTAAGGTACTCCAGCGCCTCAGTAACAAACTCTTCACACATTGTGCACACATTTCCAATTCTGACAACTTCTTCTGAGGCTTTTACTTCCCCTTCTGACTCCTGGTGATTTATCTGCAAAACTGAGTCACAAAACTCTGATTAATCTGGATCTACTTCGAGAATCACAAACATCTTCACTTCACCATCCTAGAGAAATTGAACTTTCTGTCCAAAGCATCTTTAGTGAGAAACCATTTTCAAATCATAATCGCATTACTGAACACGTATGGACATTATTGATAGGCATACAAGCTAGGTTTTGGCTGCCCCCACCAAAGAAGCCATTTGAATGCATTAACATATATGCAACTTGAAATTCACTACAAATAATACAATTTAGATAATTTCGAAAAACATATCAGATTTGCCATTTTTGGCAGCCTCATAAACTAGGTCTGAATTTAAACCAAATATATTAGGCAAGTGCATGTGCTGAGAAAATTACCATCTTGCAATGATAATAAAAAATAAAAAAAATTGAAAGAATTACCGGAAACATCAGATGCTGTGGTTTCTTTACTAGAAAGACCAGTGATAATTAATTTTCTGGCATCACAGGACAAGCTAGCACCCAAAACAAAAAGAACTAAGAGCCCAACTGTCACACCCATGGTGCCTGAGGTGAAAGCAATTGAATTTAAACCAAAAAAAAAAAAAAAAAATAATAACAATAACAATAATAATAAGTAAAAAAAATCTATATAAAGAGAATAGACTATCTAATCACCAACACAAGTAACTAATTTCGGAAAAAATAGCTGAAAATCATGAAGTCTCATAATTCAGCATAAATTAGACAAGCAATTAATGAAGAAAACACAGAAATCATCATAGAGATATTTCTAATGGTAGGACCAAGTCCTAGATGCGTAAAATATCAAGAAGCGAGTGAAGGGCAGAGAGTAACTTCCCTATTTATCTCAGTTTAAACTCATTATCTGCACAGAATTGATGAATCACATATGCATATTGAATTCTACTATCTAAATGGCACAATCAGAAAAAGGATTGCAAGAGCAGAGTACCACCAAAGTTACATTTGCACCAGCAACACATGAACATCACATACAGTAATGTACTAGCCTGCAAAATTAACTGAAAGTTACACAAAAACACAAGCTCATTCATGCAAGATTTCTGCCAAACTAGTTGATTCCACTTGTAGAGCTTTTAATACCTCATCAAAATATGCTTTCTCAGTATTTAACCCTTTTTAGCTCTATTTAGGGAAGCCTCTTAGAGGGTTACTTCTACTTATTCTCAAGCACAAAGGTGCTTGGGAAAGTAAAAATTTGGCTTAAACATTAAGCAGACATCCAGCTACTTGGGAATCACCTCTGAAAGTGATTCTCAGCTTAGTGCTTAAGTGGGGCTCATTCTACAAATAATGAACTATCTCATCTCCAAATTTGCCCTTGAATTAAAATGACAATTCCATGCATGTCTGTTTTCCAAGCACGCCCACAATTAATTATTTATTTTATTACCTTCAAATAGTTTACCCACCCAAATGGGGTGTTGTAATACAACTCATAACGATTAACATTATTGGTGCAGAAGATAAATAAAGATGCTTCATCGAGGATAAAAGGATTAAGAATTGAGGATTTAAGACAACTACTAGACAGACTCCATTTATGATGATGCTAACAAAGAGGTTCATATTTGTTGTGATCACTTGGCATACAATCCTAATGTTATGTTTCGTACTAAAGTGAAGGATATAGAAAGTAAAGGCAAAAAATCAACATATTTAAATTGTTTCTAAGAAGGAAAGAAAAAGGGTATGGAAGGGATGTGATGCGAGAGAGGATTTACAGTGGAGCACTTTTCTTCCCCTACAAAATTGGGAGAAAGAGGAGAAGTGAGTGAAGTGCTTGCTACTTATTGTTTAATACTAAGAACACCCCGTGTTTGCGAAAAGTATCTATTCAGTTTCTGCATCCCCTATCTTTATAATTACTGTCTAACCAAAAGTTGGACAATTTATCTCAAAAAATTAAAATCATTTTCAGTCATATAGCATTTAACTAACTTCCCATGAACCCATATTAAGATCACAACTTTGTGACAATTAAACCAATGGGTCTGTCAAATTCAGACCAGAAGCAAGCCAAAACCTTCCCAAATCCCAAACAAGCAACGCCATAATATGAATTTGATGAATAGTTCCATTGCATACCACATACACAGATACATATAAGCACACACATATACATGAAGAAACAATAAAAATACAAAAGGAAGTAGAGAGACTACACAAGAAAGAAACCCTACAACACAAATCCAAAACCATGAAATGCAAGAAAGTACCTTTCGCAGAAGTTTTAGGATATGCCATATGTGTCTATGTCTAGACGGTTTCAGAAGGGAAGAAGATGGGTAGGCATCGATTCTTCCTTCCTTCCTTCCTTCCTACTAGCAAGTAATGGGTTTTGGGGGAAAAAGTGTTGAATGGTTGCTGGGTCCTTTTGGAAAGTTAGGAATTTGAAAGTGCACCCACATGAGTTTTCCTACTATGCACAATACCTCCACCATAACCCCTTGTACTATGTCCACTCATTGGAATGCATTTTTGGATCTCAATGATGGTCTCTTTTGTTTTTTTTATTCAAAAGAAGTAGAACAAAGCAGGAAAGAAACAACAAGATAAAACTAGGGACACTAAGGCCTTACACAAGATGCACCCACCATGTCTGCTATCAACAGACTTACAATGGCACTTGGAAGGTCATCAAGCACAACTAGGTTGTCTTGGTGGTTAGCTCCTAAATTTGCTAGTCTATCTGCACATTTGTTTGCCTCTCTAGGTGTGTAACTGATGGAGCAATTGTAACTGATGTATCTCAATGATGGTTTCACAGCTTAAAATTGGTCATAAAAACTTTGAATAAAATAATTGAGGAAAGGAGTTATAGAAGATATATATCACTTATTTTTTCATTATCAATTAAAAAACTTGGTAATACATTATTGATTTTCTTTAATTTTTTAATAATTAAATAAGAAAGTTAATCATAATTATTTATATAACAATAATACAAAATGGAAATAAAAAAATAACCATATATAGCATTTTTCTCTAAAGAATTAAAAATGTTACTTGAAAAGCATGTGACAAATAAAATGTTACTTTACCTTTTTCCTGTTAAGATGTGAAGATTTTGAGAACTTACCCATCAAATTAACAAAAATGAGAAAAGCAATATATATTCTTTTTAATTTATAGATTGAAAAAAATAATGAATTATTTTAATTTTTAGCAAGGTCAAATTTATGTCCAATAAAGACCATGAACAAATTTATTTTTATTTTTTTCAAAAATAATAATTCAAACTAAAAAAAAAAGGAAAGAAAAGAAGAAGATAAAAAGGTATCATTTAGTTTAGTAGATAACTGCTCTTATTAAATGTTACTACTATATTATTTAGAATAAATTTGCTGTATAAAAATTTCATTCGAATTATTGCAAATCATTAAAATTTTCCATTTCATTTCAAAACAGCACATCATTAAAATTCAAAATGATCAGTCCAGTGATATTTTCATGATGGCGCCTACCCTGTTTGAAGCATGCACAAGAACATTCCATGCTTAGATACAGAGATGGATCCAGAATTATCACTACGGAAATGCAAAATTATGTTTGGTGTGCAAATCCTTATAGTTTTAAATTATTTTAAATTTTCTAATATAATATATGATATTTTTCAAATTTTTTGAAGTGCGGTCGCCCCATTCCACGCCCCTATCCATCCTTGCCTAGTATCAATGAAGATTAGAAATGCCTTGTTGTGAAAACATCACAATCATCATTTGAACAACCCAGAATTTGATAAATAACCGCAATACTACCAACAAACAATGGGTCTGGGGTACATTAACATTAGTCACCTAAGAAGACATAAACCTTAAACCAGGACACACTAAAGATGATTAGGGCATAAAACAACTAACGAAGACATAAACCTACCCACTGCGACACATTGAATTACGTTTGCTTCTTCTTTTTCTTACTTTGCTTTCGCATGAGGACCGTGAATCGAGCAAACCCAAACTTCTTTCTCTTTGCAGGCAATTGCTTGGGCCCACTTTCCCTCTCAGCCTTCCGTGTAGAAGGCGCATCACCATCACTTCTACTAAGCATTTGACCGAGTGACATCTTTCGTTTAACAGCACCTTTTTCCGCCCCATTCTCAAATTCTTCTGTCAAAAGCAACTTCCTGCTCAGTATTTGTCCTATAGACAGTGTCGGCCTCAAAACCGGCTTTGACTCATCATTCTCGAGATTCATTCCATTTACGTCAAGCAGACGAGAGTTTCTCCGGTGGTGAGAAGAGGGGTGAGAATTCTTGAACTTGGTCGAGTTCTGTACAGTCCGTCTTCTTTGAACATGTTCAGATCTCCATTTCCGCAGAGCTTCTTCGACTGCTAACTTCGCTTTAGTTGCAGCCTCTACTCTGTTTAAAGTGTCTTCCAAGACCCTCTTACTGTTTTTGACTTCTTCTGTGGCTTCTTCTACCTTCTTCAAAATCTCCACTTTTGATACATTTGCTTCATTAACTAGAACCATAGCATCCATCACTTTCCTCTTAGAAGCTTCCTCTGCATCTCGAGCTTTTGAGGTTAGAGATGTATATTCGTCGAATGAAAGAGTAACCCCTTTGGGCTTCTTCTGGGAACCTTCATTGGAGAGATTGCTGCTTGATAGGGCCTTGATCTCGGCATGAGCAACAGCTTCAGTGGCTCTAGCCGCTTCCTTCATTTTCTTGGCTGCAACCAATCTGATCTCAGCGGTTTTAATCCTAGTTTTTGTCTGTTCAATCTCCGACATTGCTCTCAGAACTTCTGATTTTGCTGATCTCAGCGGTTTTAATCCTAGTTTTTGTCTGTTCAATCTCCGACATTGCTCTCAGAACTTCTGATTTTGCTGATCTCAGCGGTTTTAATCCTAGTTTTTGTCTGTTCAATCTCCGACATTGCTCTCAGAACTTCTGATTTTGCTGATCTCAGCGGTTTTAATCCTAGTTTTTGTCTGTTCAATCTCCGACATTGCTCTCAGAACTTCTGATTTTGCTGATCTCAGCGGTTTTAATCCTAGTTTTTGTCTGTTCAATCTCCGACATTGCTCTCAGAACTTCTGATTTTGCTGATCTCAGCGGTTTTAATCCTAGTTTTTGTCTGTTCAATCTCCGACATTGCTCTCAGAACTTCTGATTTTGCTGATCTCAGCGGTTTTAATCCTAGTTTTTGTCTGTTCAATCTCCGACATTGCTCTCAGAACTTCTGATTTTGCTGATTCACCCATTCTCTTGTACTGCTCTGCCTCATTACTCAACCATTGAAGCTCTCGTGTTATATCAATGGGATTATCTTGGGCCTGTTGTAGCTTCAGTCTTGTTTTGTTTAGTTCTTCCTCGAGTGTTGACATTTTTGAGGAATTTAAAGATAACCTCTCACAGGTCTTCTCAAGCGAAATTCTTTCCTTCTCTATTTTCTCGTTAAATGATTCAACAGTACCTCGAATATCAGCAAGATCATTCGTGGTTCTGCTGAGATTCAACTTGGCTTGTTTCAATTCCATTAAGATGAACCCTGGAGCTGAAGAGGGGCAGAGGCTGAAAGCACTAGTAGAATCATGATTACCACCCTCAAGGTTTCCACAGTTTTCCTTTCCTGGTACTTCCACAGCAGGATTTACATTCATAATATCATCTAAATTTGCATTCGAGGCTGCATCGACTTCAGATGCCTCTTTTTGTAGCTTTAGTTTAAGTTCTTCTACAATCATTTTAGTTGTTTCCAGTTCTTTCAAGACATCAAGTGTTTCCCTTTCTTTTGCGATCAGATCTTTCTCCAACTGCGCAGCCTGTTCCTCCACTTTGGTGATGTCAACAGCTTCAATATCATGCTGCAGTTGATGGAAACAAATCAAATAGTGTAAAAAATAAATAAATAACTCAAAGAAAATCTATCCAGCCTTGTATTTGTATTTAGCTGGTCTTTTATGTGATTACATGTACATGGGTTTCCTACCTGAACAGAAATCACAAACAGATTTTCTTCGAGGCTCGTCTTTTGCTTCTAGATTGAGGTGGAAGAAACAAAATACTGATGGCATGGGGTTGAGATTAAAAAATCACGCAGCAAATTTGAGGGTGACCCAATCTAGAAACAAATTTATGTTTAATGTTCATTATAACTAGAAGCAGACAAATTTGAGGGTTACTTCATTATAACTAAAGACGATCCTTCACCCAATTAGACAATATTTTCATTTTAGTTCTTTCCATTTCATCTGAAAGCAAAATCATGAAAAAAATCTTGCCATTGAATTAAGATGGCCAGTACTGAGATTGTAAGATAGTAAAGCTCTAACATTGATGACTTTCCAAAAGGGTCCAAACAGCTACTTTCTAGATGTGAATCAACAAATAAGAACTCTTGATTACTATTTGCATCTCAGACTTATGCTGTTTTTTCCTAGGTTATTTATAGAACAAATAAGAACTAAAAGAGTAATATAATTTATGCACAGATATTAAATGAAACAAACACGCTATTGTGCACCAAGACAATCAAACCATAATACAAAAACAAAAACAAATGGAAAAATGGTCCAGAAAAGGAATCAGCTTTAAAATGAATGCAATGCAGCTCCAGAGTAGCAGCTACACCATTGTGGGCCTCCGAAGAATTAAACTCCTCATTAATTGGTTGGTATCCCACACGTACTGATAGCTGTTATGAGGATCATGCTGGATTTATTATTGTTATTATTTTTGATCTCTACAACTTGAAAATTATAATCAAACAGCCAAACTCAGAAATATGGCTCTGCTAGGGAAAATCCTAGGTACTGCTGCATGGTAAAATATAGTAAATATGCTGATGTCTTGGATATTTTGGTTTTGATTGTTTCCATATTCAGCCAATAAATGGAAGCCTAATATGAGATTTATGGAGATTCCTGCACTTCTCTTAACTGCAACTTGCAACTATGAATGGAAAGAAAAAAAAAAAGAAAAAAAAGAAACAAAACCAGAACCAGATGCTGTTGCAAATGAAAATGTGCTTCACAAACTAAAAATCACAAAATACTATGAACATAATAACCCTCAACCTCTACACTACATTTCAAAGCAAATTGGCATCATGGGTTAAAAAGTATAGCATTATGAAACATCTTTGAAGAACATCAAAAGTATACTACTAATAATAAGGTAGCTGAAATCAAAAGAGAGCCAGCTTGACAAAGGCAATGCTAGTACAGTATACTACTAATAAAAAATATCTGAAATCAAAGTTTTGTTTTCTGATAATAATAAAAATAAATAAAAAACCCCAAACAGGTAAAAATTCACACTTTCTTTAACAATGTACTTAAGAAATAACTAATAAAAAAAAGGTAAAAGATCTTAAAAAGCAAAAAAATCAGAAAATTTTTTTTTTTTTTTGCTTGAATAGAAATGTAGCTGAAACCCTGACATCAATTAAAAAAGATATCAAATTTACAAGTAAAAATGAATATGAAATTCATAATAAGAGAAGCTTTATACCATTAAAGCCACATTGTGTGAGAGAGAGAGAGAGAGAGAAGACCTGAGAAGCTTGGGTGGGCTTATGGGAATGGGGTCTCCAGAAACCGATTCCACCGAATCGACTAGCAGCTTCCTTAACCGACTCAAACGGCGCTGACGTGTCAATTTCAGCCCTAGAACTCTCCATCTTCTTCTGCCCCGAACACCCTGAGTCACTGCCTTCACTCGCAGTGAGTCCCATTCCGGCAATTTTAGCTTCTGGAGCAT